CTCTACCACCCCCCAGCTCTGACTCAATGGCAGTGAGTTGGTTGGTTGGTTGTGGGGGGTAGGGGGGTGGATGGTGGTGGTGGTTTCCTGGGTGACTGATCGGCGCTCCAGTGTGAGCAGTACTGAGATGGGGATTGCTGGGTGGGGACAGGGTAGATGGACAGTCGGGAGACACTGAGGAGGTGACTGTGGGCAGTGGCCTGGTGAGCAGGCAATGCCAAGGACCCAAGACGTTTGGACAGAACCAGGGCCACTGTGGGGCAGGGCGAGCAGGCCGCACTGGGCCTTGGGCACCTGGTGAGACAGTGGGACCATGTTCTCAGAGCAGCATAAGCCACCCGGGTTTTCCCAGGAGGGCTGAAGCTGAGGCAGGCACAGGCGGGTGAAGGCCTGGATGGGGGTATGGGGGTGTGTGGAGAGCGGTCAAGCCAGCAGAGTAGGGGGCAGGTGTCAGCCACGCTGTCATCCTCAGGGTCCTTCAACAAGTTTGTGAACGTGATCTCGGCCAGGACGGCAGTGGGCCACGACCGGGAGGGACAGGTGGTGCTCTTCCACGCCGATGGCCAGACGGGGCTGCGGGGGTAAGTGCGGGCCGCTAGATACAGCCTCAGCCCCTCTCTAGCCCCTACCTTCCCAGGAAAGAGGGTCCCTAGGGCTTCCACATGCACTCCCCTCTCTCTCCCAGGCTCAAGGCTTGACCCCTCCTCCACCCCAGTTGGCGTCAGAGGCAAAGCTGGCCCAATTAGAAAGGAGGCAGCCTGGGCTTGCTCCCCCGCAAGGCATCCTACTATATCTGTGGCCAGGCAAGAGTCCACTCATCCTCCGTCAAGGGCAGGCAGGAAGCGAGAGGTCGGGGTGTCCTGGCTACGTAACAAGTAGGCCCGAGGGCAGACTCCATTTAGAAATGCCTGTGCCTGGTCCAGACCGGCTCCATCAGCATCTGCCTTCTGCCCACGGACAAGATCCAAGTGTTGCCCCAGCAGCCTCGGCTGCCAGTCCGAGAAAGAACCCCCTTCTGAGCACGTTCAGGATGCTGTGCCCAGCGGTTGTTGGACCCAGACTAGGCTCCGGGTGTCCCTGATGGCACCTCTGCTTCCGATTCCAGGGACTTCTGTTCCTGCTGGCCCAAGAGGGTCTCGTGTTTTTAGGGGTCAATTCCGGAGACGACAGATCCCACCAGGCCTACTCAGGCTTGCTTAAATCTCTTGTTTCCCCTGCTGGTCAGCTGGGCCACGTAACCCAGCCCCGTGCGTGCCAAGAGAGGGCTGCCTGTGCTTACAGCCTCCAGGGGCCCAGAGGGGAGCTGCTCGGGGTCACATGGCTGCACTGCCAATGCAGCAGGCAGTGTGAGCCTGGTGGTGAGCAGCCCTGTGTTCTGTCGCAGCATCAACCTGTGGGAGATGGCGGAATTCCTGCTGCAGCAGGGTGTGGTCAACGCCATCAACCTGGACGGAGGCGGCTCGGCCACCTTCATCCTCAATGGGACTTTGGCCAGCTACCCGTCGGATCACTGGTAAGCCCAGCAACAGCCCCCTTTCGGGGGGGCCCAACCGGTGCCCCCAGCATCCCAGACCACCCCAGTGGGAACTCCCTGTCCACCGCTTGGCTGCTTCTCCGTCACCCCTCGCAGTCCCCACCGGCTTAACAGACTGAACGAAGGTTTGTGTCAGCTCACCACCTGCCAGCGAGCAGCCGCTCCCCGGATGTTCAGCCGCTTATCACACCATGGCTGATGGTGTGGTGGGTGACATACTGATCTGCCGAGCACAAAGTCAGACCTGCTGGCTAGCCCTCCAGGAGGGAAAGATGAGCCCGTTCCCATCGAGAGTGACCATCTGGGACACCCACGGGGAGTTCTACCCTGCCCTGTAGGGTTGCTGTGAGTCGGCATTGACCGGTGGCGCGTAAGAGTCACTGCCGCACACGGAAGAGACTTCAGGCACATGTCACCGGAGCGTTACTGTGTCCCAGGAATGCACTCGGTCATGTCGTTGGGGACCGAACCCCCTGTCTCTCTGGGGTCTCCTTGTCCTTTTTCTGTGCCACGGAGCGGTCGGTCCCTGGAGGAGGGGTCAGGGATGGAGAAGACGACCGTTGATGGGATGAGTGGACGCAGTTGCTGCCACTGTGGGCTGGAGCTGGGCAATGAGGAGGAGGCGCAGGACTGGACGAGACCCTGTTGTCATGGGGTCGAGCCTGCCTGAGGGCCCCTAACAGCCACCACGCCAAGAGTCTCCCTGGGAGTGGCTCCCAGCTCCTGCAGCGAGCAGAATGAGCCACAGCCAGGTCCCCTGCCGGTCCTGGTCGGCTCCGTGCCTTCCCTGCGGGAGCCCGGCACTGGCCACCCACTGCCACCGCCGCCGGCACACCTGGGGCCCCGCCTGGTCAGCGGAAGCGCACGTGCTGACGGGCCAGGAGGGAAGAGCCAGCAGGGAAGAGCCGGCTGCCTGCCTGTGGGAGTCCACCGGTGAAAACCAGCCGCATCTCAGCGCTGGAGCCACAGCCAGTGGGCAAGACGGAGCCCCAGCCCTGATCCGGTCCCCGGGGCCATGGAGCAGAGGGATTCCTCCAGCAGGCCCAGCCTGACAGCCACCCGCAGAAGCTCCGAAAGCCTGTGGATGGGCCTGGAGGACCTCCTGCAGAGGAGGGGGCAGGGCCGAGGGCCGCGCCCTGGGGCAGAGGATCTGGCTCTCCACACGCGTGTGTGCCCTCACTGACGCTCACAAAGGCTCATGAGCACCTTCAAGTGGCTCCTCTCTGGTCTCTGTGGCCGGAACCCCGAAGTCTGTCGCCAGGCCTTTCTTCTGAGGTGCCCTGGACACTGGAGGCTGAGGGCAGTTGTGACCCTCAGCACCCCCAGGGGCTCAGGAACCCAGGGAGGAGGGGTGGGAAGCGAGGTCACTGGGGAGGGACGCCTGGTGCTAGGGCCTCTCCTCACGCAGAGCCCGTCCCCCACAGCCAGGACAACAACATGTGGCGCTGTCCCCGCCGAGTGTCCACCGTGGTGTGTGTGCACGAGCCCCACTGCCAGCCACCTGACTGCAACGGCCACGGGCTCTGCACCAGTGGTGAGTGGGCACCGTGGGGGAGGGCAGGGGGCAGCCCCACTTTCCTGCCCGGCCCCCGGCCCTCATCTGCCTTCTGTCTTTGTCTCGGCAGCTGGCTGTCACTGCAGTGCTGGGTGGACCGGATCCAACTGCAGTGAAGGTAACAGGCTGGCCCTGGGGCATGGAAGCTTTGAGTCTCCTTGGGGTTCCTGCCTTCCCCTTTGGAAGTGGTCTCCCCATCTCTGTTTCTGACCTTGCTTCCACGTCCCTGTTACCTAGTGCCCTGGGGGGTTGCTTCAACAAATGGCCCATGGGCTAGGTAGTAAGCTGCTAACCCATCAGGTTCAAAGCCACCAGCCACTTCACAGGGGAAAGATGAAGCTCTCTGCTCTCAGAAGCCCGGTAGGGTTGCTGCGTGTCAGCGTTGGCTTGACGGCGATGGGTTCAGCTTTGAGTTGCTAAGCACAGGGTGGGCAGTTCAAGCCCACCAGCTGCTCTTGTGAGAGAAGATGAAGCTGCCTGCTCCCCTGAAGGTTCACAGGCTTGGCCACCCAAGGGGCAGTTCTTCTCTGTCTTGTAGGGTTGATATGCGCCAGCACTGACTGGGTGGCAGTGGGCTTGACTTTTTTTGCCTGGCGGATTAAAACAACAGGAATGTCTTCTCAGTCTGGAAGCCAGGGGCCCTAAGTGGACAGGCCCTCCCTCCCTCTGAAGGCCCTAGAGAGAATCACTCCTGGCCTCAGCCAGGCTCTGGTGACTTCAGGCGTCGTACCCAGTCTCTGCCTCCATTGCCACAAGGCCCCTCCTCAGGGGGTCCCTCCTTGGGTCAAGTCCAGGCCTCTGAGCTAGCTAGTGCTCCCAGGTTCAGAGTTGGCCAGGGACAGACCTGAATTTGTAAAACGGGCTTGCCGCGAGGGAAGAACTTCATGCTGATGAACTGCTGGGGACTCCCCTCCCTCTTAGAAGACCGAGGCAGCATTGTGTGTTGCTGGGCAACCCACCCTCTCAATTGTTAGAAGCAATGGTGCTCGGCTCTCGGATGGCGGCCCCCTGCTTGGCTCTGGTCATGTGTTGCTCTCTACCGCCCTGGCAGTAATTCGGCTCCTGCCTGGGCTCACCACGCCGCCTCGGAGTGCCCATTTCCAGGGCTGCAACCCAGCATACCCCCATTCCGGCTAGAGTTCTGGAATTTTAGCTTTGCTGCTCCAACTGGACTGGCTTACACCGTCCCCCAGCCAAGGTCAGAGGTCACCTGTTCTTATCTGGACACCAGCCTTGGGATTTAGGGCCCACCCCAGATCCGGGACGGGTCATTCCGACGCTACCTAGTGCTCCATGTCCAAGCCTCAGCTTCCTTGTCTGCGCACCGGGCGCGCTGAACTCGAATGGGGAATCCAGAAGCACACCACACTCGCTGCTGCCGAGCCGCTTCTGACTCAGAGCCAGATTAGAACTGCTCCGGTGGGCTTTTAAGGCCACAAGCCTCTATGGGAGCAGACGGCCTCATCTTCCTGGGAAAACTGCCCACCTTGCAGTTAGCAGCCCGACCCATAGCCCACCAGGCCACAGGGCTCCTTTGCCTCCCGGCTTTTTGCTTAATTACAGCTCCCAAGCCCCCTCTCCCCGTCGCCAGGGCCCTGGTGGCTCAGCCGCTCGGTGCTGGGTTTGAGCCCGCGTAGGGTTTCTGTCGGAAGACCTGGCAGCCTGCCCCAGGGAAGGGGTCTCAAACAGGGCGACCCTGGAGGCCAGGGTAGAACTGCCCCGGTGAGGGTCTGAACCTGTAGAAAACCTCATCTCCCCAAGCGGGAATGGTGGCTTCAGACTGCTGACCTTGCAGTTAGCAGCCCGGTTTGTCCCCACTACACTGCCATGGCCCCCCTAAAGAGGTCAGCCTCGGAAACGCTGTGGGGACAGCTCTACCGGGTCACCTTAAGTTGGAATCGACCCAACAGGCAAGATCACCCTGTTCCCGGGGTTGGGGCTTAGACAGCTGTTGGAACACATGGTTCAACCACCCACCATGTCGGGTGGTCGGCTTTTGTGCCCTGGCTCCCTGGGGGCCCATGTCTGCAGCTCTCCTCCCTGCCCACTCTCCTCCAGCCCGGCTATGCCCACGCTCCCTGGCCAGCAGCCCTCCCTGTACTCAGATCTGCAGATGAGCCTGCCAGTTCCCGTTCTTTCTTCCCACCTCTTGGCATCTCTTCTGTGGTTGCTGGCCCCCAGGTTCTCCAACGGCTGCGGCTCCCCCTTCTCTCCACCCCTGACCCCAAGCCTAAGCAGCACTTGGGAAGCTGCCCCCCCACCCCACCCCCCGCCAAGCTCAGGGTCCCAGCCTGCCCCATACTGCTGCCACATTCTGTCCCTGTCCCCCACATCTGCCACCATGTTCTGCCCACATCTCTGGCCTTTCACTGCCAGCTCCTGGCTGTGGGGCCCCACACCCAGGCGGCCAGCTCCTGGGAGCGGGTCCATGACCTTCCCCCTCCCGCCCCCTCAAGCTGCCAGCACTGAAAAAAGATTCTAGCCACTGGCTTTCGGGTGACAACGGGATCCTGGGGCCACTCTGGGGAGGCCTCGGCCCATCGCACACGCTGTGAGCCTGGGCTTACCAAAGGCCCCTCCCCTCCCAGCGTGTGCCAGGGGTTCCTTTGGGGAGAACTGTGCCCAGAAGTGCCTGTGTCAGAACGGAGCTGCCTGCAGTCCGGTGCATGGGACCTGCACCTGCTCCCCTGGCTTCACTGGAGACATCTGTGTGCAGGGCCTTGGGGGGGTGGGGGGTGGGGGGCGCTCATTCCAATGCCCTGAGAGAGTGTCCGCCTCTTCTACCACTGTGCACCAGCCAGACCATGCACACAGGGACCATGGGGACCACATGCCCTGATGGGGGAGGAGAGACATGCCTGCCCCCAGTTGACCGCGTCCCTCGTCCTCTGGCAGCGTGCCCCCTGGGCTGGCATGGGCACGGGTGCCTGAGCCCCTGCCAGTGTGAGAACCACTGTCCCTGCCACCCCTAAACTGGCAACGGCAGCCTCAGCTGGTCTCCATCCTTGGCCAGCCTGCTCTCCAGAGGTAGGCGCCCCTCCCCACCAGGCACAGCCCCCTCCTGGGACAGGGGGCAGTGGGCTGGCCCCCTCATCCCTTCACCCCATGGCTGCCCCGACCCCAAGCCCCTTCAGCACCCCCCTGTTTTACAGGGAAGCAGAACTTCATGCCCCCAGGAGTCGCCCCTGGGGCGCAAGGACACTGGCTGTTCACAGGGTAGGTTGGCTTCTGGTGTTGAGTGGGCCGGGAGGCGGAGTCAGGTGCCCGGGGCTGGTCTTGCACAGGATCCCTACAGCTCAGCTGAGGCCACAGGGGGACACCCAGACCCCAAAGACTCCACTTCCTTTCTCTGGGGTGGGTCACTGAGACCTGGGGGGTGGGGCTTGGGAGGCATCCCGGGAGCTGGGACACAGAGGGCCTGCATCTACCCACCTAGAGGGCCTGCACCCAGGCACTTCTGGGGGTCCCAGGAGAGGCGGGTGCTGCTTTGAGTGCCTGGCTTTGGAGGGTCCCGGGAGTCTCTGGGAATGGAGGTGCCAAAGAGGCCCCGGGTGTTGTCAACTGGGAGAACCTCACAAATGCGCGCCCCTGACCCCCTAGTGTTCTGCCCTGGACTTGGAAGTGGGCTGGCGGGGTGGCTGGAACTGAACAAACACACCAACCTTGAAGGCCCTAAGCCACGCCACGCCGGGCCCCTCAGGGACCACCATAGCGAGCCTGCTAGTGTGGGGTCCTCCCAGACTCCTGGTGTGCATGTTGCCTGCCTGCATGTGTCAGCAGGGACTTTCTCCATGGGGTTGGCCATGTCAGCTTCTCAGAAGGGAGTCCAGACCACCAGCCTGTAGCAGCGTTCCAGGCACCCTCCCCCCGAGTCCTGGTTTTGGGAGAAGCCATCAGTCGGGTCGGGAGTGGCAAAAAAGACCCCAGCCGTCGGCCGGGTGACTTCAGTCCGTCCAGCAGGAGGCATCCAGAATAAGCAGGGTCCTGGAGAGGCCACCTGCTGGGGGAACTTCTCTCTGGCACATGGGGTCCCTGTGAGTCGAGAAAGCTGGTGGGGGACCCTGTCCAACCGTGTGGCCGAGGTGGGTCTCCGTCCCTGTCTGTGTCCAGAGTGAGCCTCTGCCCTCTCCGCTCGGAAGCCCCCGGCTGCCCCTCCCTCACGAATGTTTCTTTCCTGCCCCAGGGCCACCGGGTTGGGGCTCACACTGGGCCTGCTGCTCCTGCTGTTGCTGAGCGTGGCTCTGAACGTGGCCCTGCTCCGCCGCCCCAGGGCCCAGCGGGACAGGAACCGGAACCTGGAAGGTGACTATGCCTACCAACCTCTGTGCGCACTGAACAGTGACCTCCTGCCAACCAGGAGGGGCAGCTGGGAGACGGCCACCATCCCCCTAAGGACCGGAGACCCCAGCTGCCCCTGATTCGCTCCTCCTAGAGACTTTGGCCCCTGCGTGCCAATGGCTGCAAGGGGCCTTCCAGGGCCACCGGTGTGGATGCGTCCCGGCAGCCTGTGTGCCTCGGTCCTGCACCTGTCCTCCTGCCCGGGGGACAGGTGGCCCCAGCAATACAGCACTTCCCAAGGACACTGCTGCCTGCCCCCATAGGGGGGCTGCCCCTGCTGCCCCAGAGGCCATCCGCCAGGGCTTGCACCCCCTGGCTCACCCTGTGCCAAAGAGCCCCCGGCCTGCTGGGGACGGAGCCAATGGTGGCAGACCTCCCCATGACGAAAATCATGGCCAAGTGGCAAGTCACAGCTGGCCCTGGTGACCAATTTCCTGGACTCCTGCAAACCTCATCACCAGCCAGAACCTGGCTTCCAGTCCAGGCAAGCTCCTCTGAGCAAGGAGTGGGGCCTAGTGAGACCACCATGTTTACAGATATTTCTATTTTGTCCTGCACCCTGAGGGTTTTCTATCATTGGAATAAATTACTTTATCATTGGAATAAATTGCTATAATAAAACAGCCACCAGGTGGCGGTCTGGGCTGAGTCATAGCTGCGGTGGGGGGGGGAGGGGCAGCGGGGAGGAGCCTCTGAGGTGGTAAGGGGCAGGTGGTCTCCTTCCAACCGGCTGCCAACAGGTGGGCAGAAAGGCCTGGTGGTCTGCCCCCATACAGACTTAACCGACCAAAGCACTGCTGTCCGTCAGCTCCCACTCTGGCAAGCACAGGCGGTACAAGGGAACAGCCCTCCAAGCGTGCCCGGTGCTTGAAACTCCAGCTTCCCCTGAAAGACCCAGAGTCCTGGTGTCTCTCAGCAAGCTGGGAGCCTGGAGCTGATATATGAGAGGCTCCCCACCCCCCGTTTTAAACTTTTTAATTATAAATTGAGTGGGGTTTGTATTTCAGATGATCCATTTTGTATTCAACTACTTACCAACCACCACCCATGTTAATGTGGCTGCTCTCATGGAATGCTGCCTTGCCCTTCACCCATGTCGGGGGAGACACGGGGCTCTTTACTCCCCATTCTGAGTCACAGTCTCAGAAACCTGCAGGGGCAGTCGCTGTGAGTCGGCCTCAGCTCCACGTCCAGTTCCTCCTCTTAGTAACAGCCCTGACTCCCACTGGGCTCACCTGAGACCAGGACCGGAGGGGGAGGGCCTCATTGGTGCCACATCCCAGGACACAGGCAGGCTGGGTGCC